GACGCGGAGGCGCCGCGGAGCGAGCGATTGGCCGGCGCGTGCTCGCGGCCGCCGCGCGGCCTGCTCCTCCTCCCAGGCCTTGCCCTCGGTCTGTCCTCACCAGGCCGCCCTCGGTGACCTTCGTGGCCGGCGGCGCCACGACGCAGACATCGCTAGGCTGAGCCGGATTAAAAGGGCAGCGGCAGCCACCAGGCTCAGTCGATGCTAAACGCCCGCTACTCTCCACTTGCCCTTCGGGTGGGCTGGCGCCTGGGCCCGAGTTGCGGGGTGGGGACTTTCTAACCGAGGCCCTGTTCTCCAATACTAGGCACCAAGTATTTTGTTTATTTGGGGAGGAGGGTAGTTGGGTTTATTTATTATTGTTTTTTACTTTAATGGAGGTACTGGGGAATCGAACCCAGGACCTCATGCATGCTAAGCACGCACTCTACCACTGAGCTATACCCTCCCCACTACTAGGCACCAAGTCTTAAAATGAGTAACCAACGTCACTACTTACTCTCAAAGCTCCCGGGATACGGCGTGGGTCCACGAAAGGCCCACGCTGCTCTGATCCTGTGAAGGAGGCTTCTTTGGGGGGTCGGGGGAAGGACTTAAAAGCTCTTGCAGAACGCTTAGGATGCCTTGGAAGTAGGGGTAGGAGTCAGACCCCTTAGTCAGGGTCCCTCCTCAGAGGAACTGTCCTGAGCAGAGAAAATCCTAAAACCTCGGCAACCACAGTTCTCAGACTTAACACCTTCCCTCTTTCCATATGAAGCATTATAGTAGTTTTCTTTGCTGAGTTTTCTCAGGCAGCAGTGTTAGCCATCCAAAGCCCCCTGTCCAAGGTCATACAGCTGGTAATTGAAGACCCAGAATTTGGAGGCTTGCCTCTCTGGTTTCCACTTAATAAACCAAGGTACAGTATTTGCGGTATATGCAGTGGATAGGGCTATGGAAGATCAGAGGACTAGAGAGACAGCCTTTCCTCCAGGAACATAATGTTTGAAAGAATTGTATTCCAGATTAATACATCGTTTAAAAAAAAAAAAAAAGTCCAACTTCTTGCTAAGCCCCGGGAGGGTGCAAAACACCATATAACCCCTTCCCTCATCCCAGTTCTGGGCTGCTCTGGCCCCTCCGGGCTGTAGTCTTGCCCGTGTGTCAAAGGGACCTAGAGAATAAACTACCTCACTATGTATGTTCTCCCCCTATCAATATGCATGACTTCTCCACACTTCTCAGATTTCACAGGAAAATCTTTGCAAAAGAAACCTGCAAAAGGATCCATTTGAACCGTGATCAGGCTTGGGCACTTAGGATGTGGGGGGAGGTGTCATTCCTATTTCCACCAACTCCTTAAACATGTCACACTGGATCTGAAGCTGGAAAGGGCAGCTTCTTCTAAAGTACGGGACCTTGTTTCTGTTATGAGGAAGAGGGAAGTGAGGAGTGGCCACTTTGGTGCCCTGGATTTCATACCCCATCCTCACCCAGAAAAGAGGCTGAAACCTTTTCAGGGTGGCTTGGGAATCACTGTTTCCTGTTACTTTCACTGATTATTCAGAATAAAGGCAAGTAGGGGGCTGGAGGAGTGAGGGTGAGGAGGGATTATTGGAGGAGAGCCTTGAATGAAGGGTGGGGGGAAGGGCTTTCAGGAAGTCGAAGGGCCCCAAAAAGGGCCAGTTAAACTTTTCCATCCACCTGATTGCTCCCGCCACTTCCCCCCAGGAGAGTGAAAAGTGGATTATTTGCTTCTATCTGGATGTACATTTCAGCCATCTTTAGGGGTGTCTCAGAGTCTAGAGACTGCAATGTCTTTAAGGCTGGGGCGACGGACTTTAGGGCTGGGGCAGCGGTAGGGGTTGAGGAGATGTGGAGGTTGTATGGAAAGGCCAGCAAAGAGTCTCCTCTCCAGAATGCAGCTACCACTCTCCTCAAGGGTGATCCACAGTGGAGCGCACAGAGTGAGCCCTGGTCCCTGGGGCTGCCTGGGGCTTCCTGCTGTGCTGCTTTCTGTCACTGGCTAGGGCCAGGAGTGGCTTGGGACTGTCGGGGAGAGCCAGAGACGGGCCACCCAGCCTGCCATCCCCCTCCTATTCCTGAACCTGCTTACTGCCCTTGAGCTAGATGGCTCTGCCTACCCGCAGGGAACCTCAGGTCACATAGGGATAACCAGGAGTACCCATGTCATGCAGTGCCCAAGTTCCAACCAGGTCTTCTTTCAGACATTCTCTTTCCTGAAGAGCAGCTGGGCCCTCTGGAGAGGGTGGCCAGGGCCTCATATCTTGGGAGATGAGAAAAGTGGCTGTGTACTCTGATTACTGCGGCTCTAAGGATCAGAGCAGTCAGTGACCTCTTCCTATGCAAACCTCTCCAGGGACTGTGAGGTGGCCAGCCTCCCTTTATGTATTATTCCAGAATTTGGAACACCCATTTGGCAAACACTATCCAATAAAAATAAAACGTGAGCTACATTTGTACTCATCACTTTTCTTAAAAACAGGTGGAATAAATTTAAAAAATATATTTGATTTAAACCCAGTATATCCAAAACATTATCAATTCAACGTATAGCCAACATTAAACATTATTAATGAGCTATTTTGCACTTTTTTTCCTACTAGGTCTTTGAAATCAGGAGTGTATTTGACCCTTACAGCACATGTCAGTTTGGACCAAACGCACTTCAAGTGTTCAGCTGCCACAGGTGGCTTGGGGCTACTGTAGTGGACAGCACAGCTGGGACAGCTCTCAGCCCCACTCTTGCAGCCCAAATCAGTTTTATCCAACTCTGGTTTCAAGATGGAGAAATTGCAGGGGGAAGGTGTAGCTCAAGTGCTAGAGTGTATGCTTAGCATGCATGAGGTCCTGGGTTCGATCCCTGGTACCTACATTAAAGAAACAAATAAACCTAATTACCTCCCCCACCACACACACAAAAAAAAGATGGAAGTCCAACACTCTTGTGAACAGTTAGATATGGCATGAGATGCCTGCAAGATCTGTTAAGGAACAAAAATAAAGTGATATACGAAACTCGGAAGTTTATCTTCATTACGAACATTTTTGCCATTAGCTTATCTTCTTAGTACATGTTTTTATTGGTTATATGTGCAGTACTTATAAATATCTGTCTTTATTAAATTCTTGGAAGGTACTAAACTACTATAGTATTGAACAATTAGGACCTTTTAACAGTTCACACATAATGACCCTGTTCCCTCTTTCCAAGCCTTCCCTGTACTTATGGGGTTTGTTTTTTTTTTTTGCATTCTTTTTTATTGAAGTATAGTCAGTTTACAACATGTGTCAATTTCTGGTGAACAGTGTAATGTTTGTCTCCTGGTACTTATTTTTTCTCCAAAGAAATTTGATGGTATAACTTCAAAATTCAATCAGGAAAATCGTTAGGACAGTTCAGAAATTGTTCTTCGTTTGGCACAGTGATGTTTTATTTTTCTTTTAGATTTCCCGCCGGGCATAGACCCTTTCCTTCCAGGCAAGCTCCAGCATGGGGTGAGGTACAGAAGAGAGACCAGAAGCATACAGCCTGGCTGGCACTCAAGCAACAAACCTGCACCCTAGACCGGGCTCTCTTACGCCACATCTGTAATGGGGGGAAGTGGTATGTTTGTTTATATGTCATTTGTGTGTGCGTGTTTATGTTTGTGCATGCGTCTTACTTCCTTGGGCATGCGCCCTGGAAGGCAGTATCCTGGCAGAGGGTGCGTTCCCAGAAACATGGCCTTAGAGGAGCAATTGTCTCCAGAGACCCCCAGGTGAGGGGGAACACTCACCTAGGCATAAGCATTAGCCTCTTTAGCCTTTGGGATCAACCACTGACTCTTGAAGGAAGGTTTTATTCATAGGAAGGCCAGCATTCCTTTGAATTTGACCAGCTAGAAATCAGCAGCCTAAGCAAGTGTCTTGGCTGAAAGCTCCGTCTGGAAGATCCGAGAGGCTCGCTCTAAAGTCTGCTCTCAGGTTGTAGAGAGGCTCCTGTCTCTGCTTGCAGAGTTTGTTTAAAGCTCATCCTCTTTGAATAAGATTTAAAATACTCCAGATCCACCCACCACACACACACACAACCAAAAAAAAAAGTGTGTGGGGTGGAGTGTGGAGTCAGGTGAGGGGAGTGTCGCAGATGAAACAAAATGCAAAATGTAGGTAGATGCTGCAGGTGAGGGAGTGACTTGTGATACTATTCTTGGTACTTTTTTATCTTTGCAAGTGTCCATTTAAAAAACTACCCTCTTCCAGGAAATACTTCCCTCTTCTTTCTCCTCCTGTGTCTGTCCCCTCTGCTTAGTTTAAATTCACATTGTCCCTCTTACTTCACTGCTCCTGCAGGGCGGAGCACATCCTGCTCCAGAAGCACAGGAAGGGAGCATCCTGCATCCGCCACTCCCGTCCAGTGCGGAGGGGAGCAGAA